ACCTCCATTTTTCTATTTTATCCCAAAAAAAACTCCATTGTTCTAATATCTATATGTGTATTATTTTTCAAAATTATGTAAATACTGAAAGTTACACTTACACATATAAGACATCCCTACATGTGTATATAGACCTAAAATGGAAATAAATAAAGTTACTATAGAGTTTAAAAAGAACAAATTATGTATTGGGCCTAAATGGTAACACTTCAATTGAGGAATTTTGTGGAAAACTTGTGGAATTTTTATTTTTGTTACCATTTGCATATTTGAAGAATTCTGCAGAATTGAGAATTTTTATCACATAGGGAACTGAAAAAAAAAAACAAATGAAAGAAATAAGAGAATAAACTTGTTTTAAGAATATAAATTAGCTAAAATAATTGACAAGAACTAAATTATACTTTAAAATTATTAGTATTTGAGGTCAATAATATTGAAAGTGTGAACTAAATATATAACAAAATTTAGAAACTTTTAAAAACCGTATTTAATAAAATTTAATACATTTGTAAACATAAATATTTAATTTCAACAAACATAATAGTTAATATTTTCATAAATTTAATTAATTACTTAATTTTAGGTAGTACATTTATAAACATAAATATTTAATTACTACAATACAATTCTAATTAATATATTTATAAATTTAATTAATTAATTTATTTTCAAAAATTCCGTTACATTCCGCAAGATTCAGCAGTTACCATTTGAATTTAAAGTTATTTCGCAAGATTCTGCAAAAAATCTCTAAAAATTTCGCAAAATTCCATAATTCTAGAAAATTTCTTTGTTACTATTTATACCCATTATAGAAGTTTCTCCACACATTTATAATTTATTTTATAGCTTTCTTAAAGCTATGGAAAAACATAAAAAGGGTGTAAATGAATCAAAGTCATTTTTGGCATAGACACTTGCTAAGATTCGGTTCTCCACACGTGCAATTTAGCTATTTTCTATTTACTTATATATTTTTCTCCAAACTTATAACTATTATTTATCCTTAACCTCCTTAAGTAACAAAAATAAAACATTTTTCAAAAAAAAAGAGAGTAAAACAAAATGAAACACGCTTTTCACTTATTCTCATCACGTGAGATAACACGTGATTCGTAAAACCCCAAAAGAAACAAAAAGAAGAAAAGTAACAAGGCGTGAGAGAGAGAGCACTAGAGATTTTGCACAGAGAACTACACGCCGGTAACTAACAGACGTTACTTGACGCCGAAAATTTCACCATTAACTAAGTTAAAATTTTGAATTATGCATAAAACAAATCTTCTTTAATTCTTTAAAAAAATTCGCCAATTTTTAACATCTCCACCGGTAACAAAACTTCACCGCACACCGTTTAACGGCCGTTACTTTTTCTCTTTTTCTTTAAACAGCTAAAAGAGGATCCGACCCGAATAGATCCCCAATATCTTGAAAATGGTCCTCCACGTGCCAGCTGGAG